CCCTAACCCTAACCCTAACCCTAACCCTAACCGCACTAACCCTAACCCTAACCGCACTAACCCTAAACCTAACCGCCCTAACCCACTGGCAACACAGCAGCGGTAGCGGTGCGGCATGCACCCACACGGCATGCACCCACACAGCTGCGACGTCACTGCTGCCCACGTTGTCTGTTGTGTGTTTCCCGGCGCTGAGACTGTTGGGGGTCACAGTGGTGCAGACCCTCTTGCAGGCGTTTACTTTCCGAGTTGAACCCGAACTGCCTGCGCCCCCAGCAGCAGCACGGGGAACAGCAGCTCTCGTCCACTGCTAACTGCATCTTCTTCTGCTGGAGTGTCCCCTGCAGCAGGTGCTTAAGATGCTGGCGGCATTCCTTGATGCCGTGATTCAGGCCAATTTTCTCTGTTCCTCAATAGTTGGGCCGCAACTTGCAAACGCCCAAAATGCCAAGGTGCACGACACCCACACCGTGCTGCACTGCAACTGCACACTGTGCGCGGGACACGATGCCACTCAAAGCAACACTACCGCACGCATCGCCCTGTACCCGCAAGGAAAGGGAGAATGACCCACAACGTACGTTCTCCCCCTTTGTCTCTCTATTTCCTTAATCTCCACTGAAAAGAGCAGCCACAGGCAGCACTGCCAGCACTGACCACGTAGCCATCCTCCACACGCACTGCAGTACATTATTTATATCTGTCGTGTATGGGTGTGTGCCTGGAGATAAAAAAATAAAAAAAGATTCAAGCACGGCATAAGCCCCCACGAACAAAAACACACGCAGTGGGAGTGCGGGACGGAAAGGCAGCGAACGGAGACAACTGGGGCTGGAGATGGCACCGCAGCCAAAGCGGCGGTCAGCCACCGAAAAAAAGATGAAAACCAAGGGAAGCGTCCTCCATTATGCATAACACCGCCACAAACCCCAAAAAAGAATTGTCGTCCTCCATGATGTTTTCTCCGCAAAATAAAAAATAGCAGCAGGCTGGCGTGCAGCAGCATGCGGCTGCAAAAACCGTTTGTTCATATTTTTTTTTGCCCACAAGAATAAGAAAATTCTTTTTTGCTTTATCTCATTGTGGTCCGCCGCATGCCCACCCATGCCAGTTGCATTTAATGCGGGCCTTCTGCGCAGCGGTGCTGCTCCGCCTCGTGGACGCCTCATCGCTGCAGCGCTGCGGCCCTCTTCGGCGTGTGTGGAGGAGGAGCCCGCCCCTCAACGGGAGGGTATGCGCACATCAAAAAAGCAAAAAAAAAGAAGGAAAACGGGGCTCCCAAAACAAAGAAAATCACGAGCAAAAAGAAGTTGGCACGGTTTCCAGCGCGGGTCCACCTCCTTCCCTGTTGTTCCCCTCCACTCAGAAGAGAAACAGGCAGCCACACACCCACGCACGGAGCTGTCGCGCGTGACCTGCGAAGGGGCGGTGGTTGACGGCGCTTCTGTCGTCACTGGAGGAGCGAGCTTCTCCTCCACGAGCGCCTTCAGCTCCGTGGCGTTCAGCATTCCGGCTGTACAGAAAAACGTTCGTCAGCATCACGTCGTTCCCTGCGCCCCCCGCACTACCCCTCGCCGCCCCCAAAAAGTACGTGCACCAACTCATCCTGCGGCGACAGCAGCATTTCTTCGGCCCGCGCCCCTTCGCCCGCGTCCGTCGTGCTTCCGGGAACCGACGCAGGCACGAGAATGCCCCCCAGCGGCCCATCCTCTCGCCGTCAACGTAGGCGCCTCCCCTGCCGCCTGCCCGTCCGCCAGCGCTTGTTTCCGTCGTAGCTCGTGCTCAGCTCCTGCACGTGCCAGCCCACGCTCACGCCCACCAAAGCTGTACGCCGGGGCCCCCGCCCGCTCAATCACTGGCCGCACAATCCGTGACGCGGGCCCCGTCATGTTAAAGCCGTCGGCAATCCTTGTCGCGCCACTCACCGTGGCGTTCATCCAACGGTAATCGCCGGCCCATTGGGTGGCATTCCCAGCACCGGACCAAAAGCCAACCAACCCATCCGCAGGCACGGGAGAGCTGCAGGCTGCCCAGCCATGTGACCCGCTGCAGCTGCTCGGTGAGGGGCACAAGAAAAAAGGCTAGCTTGTCTCATTGTCCCTTCTCTCGCACACGGCAAACAAGTTATCATCCTTTGCGT